GTTACTGTATTTGTATACTTATTATTTTTAGTTGAATATTGTTTACACTTTCAGAAGCGGGATCAAATCATAGAGACTGAAAACCTCCCTCTACATTTCTATTTGGTATCAGAACAAGGTACATCTAACTAAGAGTCTAAGTCAGATAGTCAAGCATAATAACCTTTTTTTGGAATTCTAAAGACATAAATTCAAGATTTATATTTGTCATGCATCAGCTAAGTAAGTTTAATACATCATTTGTCCTCTTCAAGAAAGGATTTTTATTCTGCAAAATAAGGGCAATAATATACTTTTTACAGGTATTTTGAAATTTGTGGGAGACTGGAATAAAGGAGCACAGGGTATAAAAATGTTAACAATAGATAATAAATAATGATCTTAAAATGTAACAAGCACATAAAAGCATGATTTCATTTAGTCCACAAATGGCCACATTTTATAGATGGAATACAATAAAATCACCAACAATCAAATTCCCCCATTTCATTGTATGGGTATGTCTAAATTTTTATCTGCTTAGACAGTTATTTGATCATTTCTGTGACTGGTTTGCCTCATCATTGTATCATGAAATAGACCAAACTAGGGTTCAAATCTTTGCTCCTCAACTTGCTAACTATGAGAACCTGCAAAGTTGTGAGAGGAGGCTTCCAAATACCTACTTTTCCTGTTTAGACTATTTTAGGGATAAATGCAGTAATGTGTAAGATGTCTAGCAGAGGGTAATAGGCATTCCAAATGCACACACTTCTCCATGAATTAAGGCAAATATAACAAAGCCTTCTTTGACTCAAGGGCATTCCTTGCTTTTTTGAATCCACTCATTTGCATTAAACTACTTCTAAACATAATATTTCTCCAAGTGATAAATGGCTCCTCTATATCAGGATAAATGACTCCTCTGTATCAGGATAATCTCGAGTGGCTGCTAAAAATAGAGATGGTCAAGTCACACTCCAGACCTACTGAAACTGAAACAGACTCTCTGACCATGAGGTCCAGGAATCTGCATTTTTAACAACTTCTCCAAGTGATATGTACTGTGAATTTTGAGAAGTCCTGGAAGCTGTATTCTTAGGTATGCACAGTTAGAACAGCCAGGTGTAGCGTGTGACCTACACACAGGAGGTAACCATTTAGCTCTGTTGCCACTTTGAAGGTAGTGAATATTACACACTTAGCAAGCAGGCAGGATGCTACCAATTTATATTCCTCCACACTGCTATTAAAGCAGGTCAGAAAAATTGTATGTGACACCTTATGGTCATTGATGGTCAAAATAATAATCCTAAGTATGCTGCTTTTAATGACCTGTTTCCCAACATAGTCTGATTCATGACTATAAAACAAACGTGATCAACCTGAGGACAACTGTTGGGATGTGTAATATTCACATACGGGGGGGAAAAGTCTGCAAATGACATTTTTTGAAGAGCTTCAAAGCCTCTTCTTTTTCTCTACAGAGAATCAGATGAAGTCATATCTGATCAAATATTACTATGTGACTATTCCAGGAATTTGACAGCGGAGTATAATCTAGTACGGAAATAAAAATTTGGGGCGAACCAATATTTATCTCTGTCCTTATTAGAATAGATAACAAATCATATGTACAGATACTTCATTTAAAAAAATTGCTCTTCTGTGTCAAATTTTATAAATTTATTTTTTTACATAATTTCTGTTCTAGGAAATTCATAGAAAATATG